TAGCACGAGAAAAAATAAACATCAACGGGAAGGGAATGTATATATACCGAAGAATCCGCCTGGTTTGAACCAAATTCACACTTTGGTTGTATGATGAGGTGTATATGTTTTTTGTTAGGCTGACTGGCGAAGTATTCTGAGATTTCATCCAGAGGTGATAGCACTTGAGGGGGTTTATTAGCGAAAATTTCAGAAATTTCATCCAGGGGTGATGATTTTTTGACACCCTTGTTGTTGGCGCCGAATTTGGTGTCGACGGTATTTAAATTGTTTAAAGGAATGTCGACCTTCCATAGCTTCAGATCTTTGGAGTCAACATTGGCAAACGTTCGAGGCTGCTTCTCTTTGATTAATTCTTTGAGAAGCCCAATAGTATTACCCTCATTGGTGTTAACAAAAACATGAAAAGTATTTTCATGAGGATTTTCACCAAGAACCCAACAATTGAGCGTGAGATTAATAGACATGGCTAATAAAAAAGATAAAGGAAAGATATCTCAATGAATTTTCAGATATTCAAGCACGTAAAACGACACTACCGATCTCTTATTTTTACCCTAATCATATGTCAGATGCAAATCACCGGTAAAGCGCATTACCATTGTCTTTATTTTGGTTACATTGTTTAGAATTTCCTCTTTCTAGTATTTCATTTTGGAAATACAGAAATAGCATGAAAAAATTGTTTCAGAGAATGGGCCAATCAAATTTCCTTATTTGGGTGATCTACATAGAACTTAAAATTTTCACGAAGCAAAGATAAAAACTTGTCTTGGAGCACTAATTAAAAATGTCGGGAATCAATTTTATCTATAAGATTTGCCCAATCTCTAACCTCTGAACAACTCTAATCCTAATTATAATTACTTCGTTTTAGCACCCTTCCAAATAAGAAATTTTGAAAGCAGAATTTATTCAGAGAATCAGGTTAGCGATGGAGCTCAATGGAGCCCAATGGAGCTGTGAATGGAGCAATGAATACTAGTTTTTGGGCTCCATTTGCATAATCATTGAGCTCGATTTGCTCCATTGCCAACTCTGCAGAGAATGTAAGTCGATAATTTAAGAAATATTTGATTTCAATGTGCTACATGAATATGCACCTGGTAGAAAGTTTAAAAATCATCGTCTCTTTAATATAACGTATAATCAAGTTAGCAAAATATTTAAATTATACATAGTACCACAATGTATAATAATATTTAGGACTTATATATACTTTATTAGGGGTGATTGTGGTTTTTAGATTTCTTGCACTGAGGTAAAAATAGATTGTCACAAATAAACAAATCGAATATCTATGCAAGAATTTTTTTAATAACTACATACACAAATATAGAGGTTGGAAGCAGTATTGTCATGCTTGTTCTACTGACTAATTGGAGCAATGCTCAGGTCTAGTGCCCATTGTTCCATTCAGAGATATCGTTGACCAATAAAATTCTTAATTGAATTAGACTAGCAGACTGAGAGAAATTAAGATTTAAAGTCTGGCATCATATATTTTTTCAAGATTTATTGTTATGATTTTTACTATATAAAGCGAAACAAAATGCAAATTATTAACAATCCACTGGTCAATTTTAGCTCTTTAGTGTCATTAAAATCATATAGACTAATTGATCCCCACAAATTTAATCAGAAAATCAATGACTTAATATTTAATTATAACTGATAAATACATTCGGTAAAATGAATATCAAGTTAGCGGCCTAATTAACACATAATTAGTTCGATATAAATAGATTGAGATCATAAACCTGTTTTTTTCTCATAAATCATCATCATCATCATTATTAATTGTTATTTATTAAGAAGTAATGTTATTGAATGATTCTAATAGTTACCAGAAAATCATTTATTTAATGCAAAGTAAATTTACCTAATTAGCATATTCCAACACATGCATAAAGAATACCTTTTAAATGGTTAGGTAGATAGCATGCAATTCCTTGAATATTAAAACCTAATTATTAAATTTAATCTTTAAATTTATCATTACCTAGATTTACTCCAATTTAAAATATAAAATATTATTTTTGAAAATTTATATATCACCGGCAGTGTATAATGTCCCATATAGCTCACCACATCAGGAATTAAAAGTATATCCATCATCGCTATGATAACCTCAGGTGCTATTTTTCTGCCATAGTGTATTATAATGGAAGCTTGTTGTTACGGGCATTGGTTTGATATATAAATCTTCTGTGTTTGAATTTAATTTATTTCACAAAATCAGACTCCAATTATTCTTTTAAAGTTATAAGCAAAATGTAAAAGCAATGATTTTAATATATAATATAAACATATTAATTATTGCCAATTTTTCATTTATTAATGCTTTTAACATCAAGGTAAAACAGTGCACACTGTGGAGGAATTGGATTATTTGAGCGAATGGTGGCGCAAATTTCATAATCACAAGGTCCTCTTGAATTGAAAAGTTCATATTGATTATTAAATAAGTTCTGATCGTTATAAAAGAATAATTTTAGATTTTTATACTAATTTTTTGGTCTAAAATGCTTTATCAAATTTCTTACTGATTAAAATTATTGACCAATAATATCTCCACTCGCATAGCACTTTCACTCGCATAACATTTAACACAACAATTTCTCGTTAAATCACCAGTCGAACAAAGTAGTTGGCTAATTGCTTGGGATCTAATTGAGACTTAAAAAATACCACCAACTATTAAAAGAGGAATAAATAAATTTATTACTTTTATGAAATTAATACTTTATTAAGGCCAAATTAGGATGACTATTTACTAGAGCAGAAAGTCATCAATATTTGAAGAGATTAAAATGTACATTATAAAAAAATGTAAAACCGTATTGTAAGCGGATTACTTTTTTTATTAGGAGAGAAATGATGTACAAAAGTCAGGTTTTTGATGCGTTATATTTATTAAATCAAGTGTAATTTCGAACTTTTTGTCACAATAAGAGGTTCGAAGTTACTCCTATGATTTTAATAAATATGATGCATCAAAAATGTAACTTTTATACATGCGCCAAATTTTGCGAGATTTTTTTTAAATAAGAAATATAGTAATAAGATTTCAAAATACCACTTCAAAGGTTAATCAGTGACTTAATTATCTTTCAGATGAAACTTACAGCATCAGCTGGACAACATGCAATTATAGTTGGTGGTAGAATTACTGAATTACGGCATTACGGCATTTTACCAGTTGGTAGAATTAATTACGGCATAGTACCTGATTGCCGTAAATACTGAAATATTATATGCCGTAATGCCGTAATGCCGTAATGTCGTAATGCCGTAATGCCATAATGCCGTAATGCCATAATAAATACTATAATATAATACAGTACTATTACACTATATGATATGGTGCGAGTACTCTACGAACATGTGTATATACAGTACCCTCAGAAAGTATATCTCGGTTGCACAAAAAAGCACATATGGAATATGCTAAAGGATACGTAGAATACAGCAACGAAGACCACCCGCCAGAACATATGAAAAATTGAAGACAACGCTTTTAAAGGAATAGGAAAGGCTAGATTATCGATTTTTACTGCTGAAGTTATTTCAAATGGAGGTTATGGCTGCAAATATTGATGCATTATCTTCAACATTGTAATGATATATTGCTGAATTGGTGATATTTATTATTAATTTGCTAAGCAATAAATTTACATGTTTAGAAAATTTATGCTGTAACCGTGACATATTTTCTGAAGGTACTGTGCAACTTTACAAACATCGAATACAGAATGGCTAAAGGGATCCTATCATTTTCCGAACAGACAATATCAAAATCCGACAAGTTAGCCTGCATTAGATTAGGTTTGGTGTTAGTTCCGGTCAATTCTTGTCGGGATTTTGTTTGTCGGGAAAATGATAGAGACCCATGGCTGAAAGGTATTTAATCTAATAGGAAAACGGAGTCCGTTGGGTTCCGGAGCACCGTTTTGAATTTGCAAACATGTTTTAAAGAAATCTAATTATTTTTAAGATATTAATAAAAATTCTTATTTCTGTAAAATCGGTTCTTAGATGCAATTTGACCAATATAGCACTATGAATTAGGTTATGATGTAATTATATAATTTACATAAAAAAATTGTTCCTACTTATTTGATTACAAAAATTTAAATTTGAATAATTAGAACTCATTATATCTAAATATTTCAATCAGCTTATAAGATGCTATAAAAAAAATACATAAACCATTTTAATTTAAAAAAGTATACATAAAACTTCTAAAACTGATCTGTCTGGATTATGAAAATAAATTAATTAAATTTA